AAAAAAACCTCTCCCCAACCTTTTTGAAGCTTGTGCCTTTATTAAAAAAAAAAAAAAAAAATATATATATATATATATATATATATATATATATATACTTATTTGCTTAATTTGTGAAGCTGAGTGGCAGGCATGTAATTCTCTGCCTTATCTAACCCAGCGTCCACCGTTCGCATCAGCTTCACCCCAGTGCCTTTGCACAACCAGAGAGTGAATTGATTTAAGACTCTTCTCTGTGAAAACATCATAAACAGGTCACTGTTGCAGGCGCAAACCACCTGCTGCCACAGAACCTTCTAGAGAAGATGCACCATTCTGCTACTTGTGAAAATCAGCGATGCAAGAGATTTACAACAGTGAATAGCCTAACAGCAGGCTGAGAGCCTTTGAGACCCTTAAATTGAACAAAGGTGCAGCCACAAAAGCCCACGGTCCCAATGACTTCTTGGCACTTTAATTTTAATTTAACATTCTCTCATCTTACCATCTCAGAGGGACAAAGAAATTGTATGATCACTCGTATGGAAGGGGATGCCACACATGCGGCGTCATCCGAGCAACACCCTGACTTTTCACACAATTTCCCTCATGGTCAAACACAGAGGAGGGAATCGGCATCAAAGGTAGAAGGCTCTGATCATTACTCCCCTCCGCCAACATCTCCCTTTGTGACTTCAGAAAAGGAGCCATTCTTTTTACAGTCAAATGGTCAGGCTGGGATTCCTCGCATTCCTGACTTTGAAAGGACAGGGTTAAACGTCTGCAGCGGTACGGACACCCTGTTGTACAAATTGATGCTGCATTGTCTCGGCAATTCGTGCATTTGCTGGACATTTTCGAGGTGATCGTTCATTCTCGATGGGCTGCGTTTCCTCCCCCCGCTCCTGCTTCAGTCATTATGCAGCTGGTCCAGGGATGCGGGATAAAAGGGAATGATGTGCAGCAGGTTGCGTGACTCCCCTCTGTTTGTTTTAGTGAATATACCTCAGCAGGAATCCTTTTCTTCACCTGTCTGACAGCTTTTGACAAAACGGTTTGTGTCCCAGTGCATCCAGGCTGTTGTTTTAGAGCTTATCCTTTACAAGAGCCTCCTACCACTTCTGTCACAAAAACACACACTGTTTTTCTTTAGCTGTCTCCACACTAAAGCATAATTCCCTTAGCTTTTACATTGTTTCTAACCTTGTCAATTCATTAATGATTCCCTAAACAACTTTTGAAACTTGTGTGTGTGTGTGTCTGTGTGTGTGTGTGTGTGTATATGTGTGTGTGTGTGTGTGTGTGTGTGTGGCTCCTGCAGAGCTGCCAGACAAGCTTAAACCAGGACTTTGAATGTCACACAGCCAATAGCCCCTTCATAACAGTCACTAAGTCTGGGCCTTCTGAAGCTAACTGGATACCACAAAACAGCCGACTCGCACTCTGGGTCAAATTGCTTTCCTCTCAGGGAAAAGAGAAGTAAGGATTGTTCAATAATAAAAGTGAAAATACCTCTACACAGAAGAATGGCAGAAGTGCAGGAGTTGTACAGGAAGTATAGATTCTTTATATGCAAACCTTTTATGAAGTTGGTCAAAGTAAAAGCTGTTTCTTATTTTGAAAACCGTGACTGTTTTAGTAAATTACCACCTGGCACTAATGTGATAGATTATCTTCTGCAGAAGTTGATGTCTCCCTCAACTGTGAAACAGGCATTCTTTATTTTAGTGGGAACAGTTCCTTGCAAAATGGGAAAAAAGCAATAACAGATATAATCACTGGAACAGTACCTGACGTGTCATATTTAAAGCTTGCTGCATACGATGCTGTATTCTCCTGAGACAAGACAAACTATTTATCTAACAACAGACATGGCACACATGTCCGTTTATGATTCAGGCAAACGGACTCTCTTTGGCAAAAGCAAGTCATACGTACAGTGTGCTCTGTTTTTCAACAGATAGCATTTTGTTGACAGTCTATACGTCCTGTAAAAAGCTCTTACCTACAATGTGAGAATCTATGCTGCTTTGTACTTTTTACAACACGTTACTGTCATTATTACATGTTACTCATGTTCTGGTTTTGTCCTCAGCTCGGTTTATAATTATTTTCAGAGACATGCTGCACTTTTTGGCTTTTACATTGAATTGCTATTCCATACAAATCCAAAATGCACTTCATCCCAATCTCCCCATTGGCCCTCGCTTGGTTCTGAGGCCCTGGCAATGAGAGTTCTCACCCAGTGAGGCATCCCACTGGGAAAGCCCTGGTCCAATAACATGGCCCCTGGGGTAAGGCTAGGGGATTACCAGCCCAAGCTTGTGGATTGAGCTCCAGGGCAAGGGAGGGGGCACGGGTTGAGGCATCGCGCTGGTCTGTCACTAAGGTCACTGGCCTCCTTTAAAAGGTTGCTACGAGGCAGGTATCACAAATGTGAGAGTAGCACACAGTCACGGTCACGGAGGGTAATAAATGGCAACAAAGAGACAGTTATTCTGCAATCACATACCCTACTGGGTGCAAGCTATTCTCCAATAATCAAGTGCTGAGTAGCAAGAGGTGCAAACTCGGAGTGTGATCACAAGAGCATGGTGCTGCTGGGATGTGAATTCGTTGACCACACCCTCGGCTCACAGCACATCAACCCAGACACACAAAACTCCATTTGCTACTTGCACAGAATTCCTTTTGCACATCTAGAGCTATTTTGTCTTTTTAGGCTTATGTATTTGCTCTGTATAGTTTTTTTTTTTCCCCATCAGCTCCAACAACAGAAATTGTCATTGTTTTCATAAATAATGACATAAATGTTTCAGACCACCTTGACAAGTTGATCTGGATCAAAACTGCCTTACACGATTCTCCAGTCTCAGTTCTCTGACTGAGGACCACCGAGACATGGAAGATTCCACAGTGACAGGTTGGACCTCTGCTATTAAATACTAAAGAAATAATCTTATTTTTAAGTAAACATATGGATTTGTATTTCAGGAGCATTTTACATTTTGTCTTTCATGATATTCAGGGGTATTCATTTGGGTTTCTGGAGCCAATGGTTTAATGAGGCCTATGGTTTACTCTGCCACTTATCAGTGGCATGCAGGTATAAATTAGACATGTCCTGGAGAAATGAAACATTGATTCAAACACATTTCTTACTCATATAGTTACGTGTCAACCCATGTTGTCACTATCAGGGTTAGTTTAAGTGTTCTCATTTCTTTTCACATTTCAGACTTGATTTAAGATGTTGTGCAGCAGATGGATGTCTAAATGAGAAATGCTACTGTTGGATGTCTCCTTTACAGATTAGCATGTGTATGCAGGCTGGGCTCGGAGTTTCGTCGGGGTGCGGGGGTGCTGGATATAGTCTTTGAGTCTCCGTTCCAGCTCTTCACCTGCGGCTATGATACCTTTGTTCGACAGTGGGACCTGCGGCTCAGTCCACAGTAAGCATCGTCCTCATTCTGATTCTTTGTTTTTTTAGTTTTGAACTTCAAAGTGTTCAGAAATTCTGTCTAATTTCTGCAGAAATGACACAGAAAGCAATGTTTGTTTCTGTCTAATTTCCACACACACAGGCCTCAGTCAGGAGTAATATATCTGCTTCTAATGGAAGATTTTTCAGCAACCCTCTCCTCGATATAACAGCGTTGATTTAGTATGGCAAGTGTTTCAAGATTTCAGGCTGGAATTTTTGAGGGGATCAGTCAAGTAAGACAAATCAGATCTGATTGGCAGATTGCTCTGGGGACTGACAGTAAGGTTGGCAGAGGGGGGTCCCATTTTTTAGGCATAAATAATTAATATGGACAAACCTTAGCAGCCTCAGAAAAAAATCTATCAGGGTCACTCAAGAGGTTTTGGTTGTCTGGAGCTCGCCTTTAAAGAAATACAAGAACAGCCGAGGGGACGAATTAATAATACTTTAATATAAAATGTATGCTATCTATTGTGAAACCTATGATTTATTTAATTAAAAACTGCAGGTTAATATGTCGATCCATAATTACGCAATTATGACCAAAGTGGTTCATACCTCTAACCGTTTCCAGTACAAAGTGATTTTTAAATTTTACTAATAGCATGTTGGCTAACCTGACAGGAAATATTATTAATATTTTGGACTTTCTAACAGGAGTCCTGATTTGAGTCTGACAGCGATACGGTGGAGGATGCTGAAGGTTAAGCCGATGGTAAAGAGACTTCCCAACTTCAAAGATTTGGAGCTAAAATAACCAAAAATAAATCAACAAAATGCCAAAGAGGCAAAGAAAACTTTTACGCTGTAATGCTGATATAGAATTTTACATTGACTGTTGAGGAGGGTATGAATATGTTCAACGTATCTGTTAAAATATTAATACAAATAGAAATGTTATTTTTAAACTTTATAAAACTATAGCAAACTTTTTTTGAGCTATGCCTGCCTCATTTTTTGTTGAAAAACAAGCACATTGATTGTGAAATTTGAATATGCCACGGGTACAAATCATTTTTTTAATCTTGATTTGACATGTTTACAGATATTTGTACATTGTATAATCGTGTGCTAGTGAAAGCAACAAACAATGTTCTATTTCAATAAGCTAAACAGGACATAATCTCCGATTTCGGGTCTAAATAAAGAGAGGTGGAAGAATATCCATGTGTGGAAAGGGATACTACAGCAAAATGCAACTTAAGGTTCCCACATAATCAGAGGTACTGTGCATGTTCTGTGCTGTGCATAACCGTCCCATATTGCATAAACGAGAGAACCAATTTCATACATTTCTCGTGAAATATTCCTGCATGACCCACAATCTCAACTTCAGCCATGGTCCTCTCCTTTACCCACGCTCTTCAAAATTTGACTCCATATTGTCCACAAGACGGTGTCGACTCTCAACCTCATTAGATCAGTGTCGCATACAAAACAGTTTGATGTGAACAGGGTTTCCCGCCAAGCAAAGCAGTTTACTGGGCAACACACCGAGTACACGTACATAGTCATAAAAATGTGCTTTTGCACACCTGCATATTGAGTCCATCTTTATTGCATGCAAATTTCGTCAGAGTGAAGTTCGCCAGAGTCAACGCTCCCTCACGCTGATCGCTGGTCGGTTCCCGTAAATAGTGTCCGTTTAGTCAAACCACATCGAATTGTTCCGGTTTGAACCACTTCAGTCAATGTGGTCCTTGATAGTCCGGTAATCACTTTTAAGGAATTTAGTCTGTTGAGACTTTACTTTGGTCCTCGCTGGTGCCTGTAGGCAGCCATTAAAAGCTGTCTTGTAGCAGTCTGTATTACAACAAATTTGAAGAAGCCTCTGACTGGATGAATGTCCTCAGACAGTCTCATGAAGAGGATGGTCAGGGTTGTCCATAGTTTTCTTGACCTTATGAAGAATCCTAATTTGCATATTCATCTCCAGAGGTTCCACAGTCATCCCCAGAACAGAACCATTCTTCTTTACTGGGTTGTTGAGCTTTCTCAGGCTCTGACGCTGCTGCCCCAACAGATGACGGTAGAATTGATGATAATCTCAACAACAGACTTATAGAAAATCTGCAGCATCTTACTATAAACCTTGAAGCATCTTAGCTTGCTTAAGAAGTCCAGTCTGCTCTGTCCCTTCTTCACTGCTGCATCTCCAGTCCAGTCTGTTGTCCAGATGACAAACACTGAGGCATTTATATTCCTCAACCACCTCCACTTCTTCTCCGATGATGGAAATAGGGTTTGATCTAAATCTGTTTTTCCTGAAATTTACATTGTCTCCTTTACAAAAGCAGAACATTTGCGTAGAAACATTCTACGCAAACCTTTCTACGCAAAGAGTTGCATAGAAATTGTGCACATGTACACAAAAACACAGCCACGTTAAGGCTTTGCGTTCTTTTTGTCCTTTACCCTGAGGAGCAAGTTGGTGACCTCCCTCTTAGAGGTTAACTAAAATTAGAGAGTGCATTGTGCATAAGATCCATGTGCTGCCCCACTGTCTGCTCCTGATGTCTCCCCATCACTTATTGATGAGGCTGCTCTAATGGAGGATTGATGTCTGCTGGAAGAAAATACTCGTCCTTAAAATACGTCCCCTCTTTAAACCTCAACCACTGACCTGCTCTGCTCTGCCCTGCTAAGCGCACACACCTTCTGGCTTTCATCACTTGTGAGGACTTTGCATTGGCCTCTTTCATTAGCCATCTCTTATTCTCCAAATATATTTGACCTGTATTGTGGTATTATTCACTCACATATTTGCCATCTTGTCTTCTGAATTTTCTCCTGTAAACAAAACATACCTGTGCTTTATTACATGGAACCTCACCAGTCTAAGTGCTTGTTTAGTTTATTTTATTTTAGTTTATTTAAGTATCTCCATTAGTCCTCACTGTCGAAACTATTCTTGCTGGTTTCCACACCACAAACATTACAATAAAAATCATAGTTTTACAAACATCACAAAAAAGCTGAACGGTGGCCCAGAATACCTTAAAACACACAAACAAAATCAAAACGAAAGATACACATGGACCGCTTCAACAATTTCAAAGATAAATTAAAAACAAAACGTAACAATCTTCACCACCCGCATAAATTCACCCAATCCGGCCAATTATTTATTGCATATATATATATATATATATATATATATATATATATATATATATATATATATATATATATATATATATTTTTTTTTTTTTTTTTTAATATTTTTT